TGCAATAGGTTTATAACTGTTACATTTAAATAAATTACTAAATAAATTGAAAAAAGTCTCAGTTTTGATTTTTTAATATGTCAAATGCCTATAGGAATAATATAAATGAAAGCTCTTTGGGATTCTTAATAACTTTTTTTTTCTCTTTTTTTTTTTAATTGCATTTTAGGTTTGGGGGTATATGTGAAGAACATGCAAGATTGTTGCATAGGTACACACATGGCAGTGTGGTTTGCTGCCTTCCTTCCCCTCGCCTGTATCTGTCATTTCTCCCCATGCTATCTCTTCCCACCTCCCGAATCCCCCTTCCCCATTTCCCTCCAACGGACCCCAGTGTGTAGTGCTCCCCTCCCTGTGTCCATGTGTTCCCATTGTTCAGCACCCGCCTATGAGTGAGAACATGCAGTGTTTGATTTTCTGCTCTTGTGTCAGTTTGCTGAGAATGATGGTTTCCAGGTTCATCCATGTCCCTACAAAGGATGCGAACTCATCGTTTTTGAGGGTTCATAATATTCCCTGGTGTATATGTACCACATCTTCCCTATCCAGTCTATCATCGATGGGCATTTGGGTTGGTTCCAAGTCTTTGCTATTGTAAACAGTGCTGCAATGAACATTTGTGTGCATGTGTCCTTATAGTAGAATGATTTATAATCCTTTGGATATATACCCAGTAATGGGATCGCTGGGTCAAATGGGATTTCTATTTTTAGGTCCTTGAGGAATCGCCACACTGTCTTCCACAATGGTTGAATTAATTTACACTCCCACCAACAGTGTAAAAGTGTTCCTATTTCTCCACATCCTCTCCAGCATCTGTTGCCTCCAGATTTTTTTTTTTTTTTTTTTGAGACAGAGTTTTGCTCTTGTTACCCAGGCTGGAGTGCAATGGCGCGATCTCGGCTCATCGCAACCTCCGCCTCCTGGGTTCAGGCAATTCTCCTGCCTCAGCCTCCTGAGTAGCTGGGATTACAGGCACGTGCCACCATGCCCAGCTAATTTTTTGTATTTTTAGTAGAGACGGGGTTTCACTATGTTGACCGGGATGGTCTCGATCTCTTGACCTTGTGATCCACCCGCCTCAGCCTCCCAAAGTGCTGGGATTACAGGCTTGAGCCACCGCGCCCGGCACCTCCAGATTTTTTAATGATCGCCATTCTAACTGGTGTGAGATGGTATCTCAATGTGGTTTTGATTTGCATTTCTCTAATGACCAGTGATGATGAGCATTTTTTCATATGTTTGTTGGCCTCCTGTATGTCTTCTTTTGTAAAGTGTCTGTTCATATCCTTCTCCCACTTTTGAATGGGCTTGTTTGTTTTTTTCTTGTAGATCTGTTTTAGTTCTTTGTAAATTCTGGATATCAGCCCCTTGTCAGATGGGTAGACTGTAAAAATTTTTTCCCATTCTGTTGGTTGCCGATTCACTCTACTGACTGTTTCTTTTGCCGTGCAGAAGCTGTGGAGTTTGATTAGGTCCCATTTGTCTATTTTGGCTTTTGTTGCCATTACTTTTGGTGTTTTGGTCATGAAGTCCTTGCCTACGCCTATGTCCTGAATGGTTTTGCCTAGATTTTCTTCTAGGGTTTTTATGGTGTTAGGTCTGATGTTTAAGTCTTTAATCCATCTGGAGTTAATTTTGGTGTAAGGTGTCAGGAAGGGGTCCTGTTTCTGCTTTCTGCACATGGCTAGCCAGTTTTCCCAACACCATTTATTAAACAGGGTATCCTTTCCCCATTGCTTGTTTTTGTCAGGTTTGTCGAAGATCAGACGGTTGTAAATATGTTGTATTTCCTCTGAGGCCTCTGTTCTGTTCCATTGGTCTATATCTCTGTTTTGGTACCAGTACCATGCTGTTTTGATTACTGTAGCCTTGTAGTATAGTTTGAAGTCTGGTAGTGTGATGCCTCCTGCTTTGTTCTTTTTGCTTAGAATTGACTTGGCTATGCGGGCTCTCTTTTGGTTCCATATGAAGTTTAAGGTGTTTTTTTCCAGTTCTGTGAAGAAGGTCATTGGTAGCTTGATGGGAATAGCATTGAATTTGTAGATTACTTTGGGCAGTATGGCCATTTTCACGATGTTGATTCTTCCTAACCATGAACATGGAATGTTTCTCCATCTGTTTGTATCCTCTCTTTTTTCATTGAGCAGTGGCTTGTAGTTCTCCTTGAAGAGGTCCTTTACGTTCCTTGTTAGTTGTATTCCTAGGTATTTTATTCTCTTTGTAGCAATTGCGAATGGTAATTCGTTCTTGGTTTGGCTCTCTTTAAGTCTGTTACTGGTGTATAGGAATGCTTGTGATTTTTGCACGTTGATTTTGTATCCTGAGACTTTGCTGAAGTTGTTTATCAGTTTCAGGAGATTTTAGGCTGAGACGATGGGGTCTTCTAGATATACAATCATGTCATCTGCAAATAGAGATAATTTGATTTCCTCCTTTCCAATTTGAATACCCTTTATTTCTTTTTCTTGCCTGATTGCTCTGGCTAGAACTTCCAGTACTATATTGAATAGGAGTGGTGAGAGAGGGCATCCTTGTCTAGTGCCAGATTTCAAAGGGAATGCTTCCAGTTTTTGCCCATTCAGTATGATATTGGCTGTTGGTTTGTCGTAAATAGCTTTTATTATTTTGAGATATGTTCCGTCAATACTTCGTTTATTGAGGGTTTTTAGCATAAAGGGCTGTTGAATTTTGTCAGAGGCCTTCTTTGCATCAGTTGAGATAATCATGTGGTTTTTGTCTTTGGTTCTGTTTGTGTGGTGAATTACATTTATGGACTTGCGTATGTTGAACCAGCCTTGCATCCCCTGGATGAATCCTACTTGATCAAAGGTGGATGAGCTTTTTGATACACTGTTGCAATTGGCTTGCCAGTATTTTATTGAAGATTTTTGCATCTATGTTCATCATGGATATTGGCCTGAAATTTTCTTTTCTTGTTGAGTCTCTGCCGGGTTTTGGTATCAGGATGATGTTTGTCTCATAAAATGATTTGGGAAGGATTCCCTCTTTTTGGATTGTCTGGAATAGTTTCAGAAGGAATGGTACCAACTCCTGTTTGTATGTCTGGTAGAATTCGTCTGTGAACCCATCTGGACCTGGGCTTTTTTTGGGTGGTAGGCTCTTAATTGCTGCCTCGACTTCAGACCTTGTTATTGGTCTATTCAGGGTTTCGACTTCTTCCGGGTTTAGGCTTGGGAGGATGCAGGTGTCCAGGAATTTATCCATTTCTTCCAGGTTTACTAGTTTATGTGCATAGAGTTGTTTGTAATAATCTCTGATGATGGTTTGGCTTTCTGTGGAATCTGTGGTGATATCCCCTTTATCATTTTTTATTGCATCAATTTGGTTATTCTCTCTGTTCTTTTTTATTAATCTGGCTAGTGATCTGTTTATTTTGTTGATCTTTTCGAAAAACCAGCTCCTGGATTTATTGCTTTTTTAGGAGAGTTTTTTGTGTCTCTATCTCCTTCACTTCTGCTCTGATCTTAGTTATTTCCTGTCTTCTGCTAGGTTTTGAGTTTTTTTTATCTTGCTCCTCTAGCTCTTTCAATTTTAATGATAGGGTGTAAATTTTAGATCTCTCCTTTCTTCTCATGTGGGCACTCATTGCTATATATTTTCCTGTACAGACTGCTTTTAATGTGTCCCAGAGATTCTGGTATGTTGTGTCTTCGTTCTCGTTGGTTTCAAAGAACATCTTTATTTCTGCCTTCATGTCATTGTTTATCTAGTCAACATTCAAGAGCAAGTTGTTCAGTTTCCATGAAGCTATGTGGTTCTGAGTTAGTTTCTGCATTCTGAGTTCTAACTCGATTGCACTGTGGTCTGAGAGACTGTTTGTTACGATTTCCGTTCTTTTGCATTTGCTGAGGAGTGATTTATTGCCAATTACGTGGTCAATTTTAGAGTAGGTATGATGTGGTGCTGAGAAGAATGTATATTCTGTGGATTTGGGATGGAGAGTTCTGTAAATGTCTATTAGGTTTGCTTGTTCCAGGTCTGAGTTCAGGTCCTGGATATCCTTGTTGATTTTCTGTCTGGTTGATCTGTCTAATATTGACAATGGGGTGTTAAAGTCTCCCACTATTATTGTGTGGCTGTTTTGTTGGTTAGTTGATAGAGATTCTTGATTGTGTTGATGCTCTTTTACCATTTGATATGTTTTTGGAGAGGCTGGTACTGGTTGTTCCTTTATATGTGTAGAGCCTCTTTCAGGAGTTCTTGTAGAGCAGGTTTGGTGGTAATGAAATCTCTGAGTACTTGCTTGTTCGCAAAGGATTTTATTTTTCCTTCACTTATGAAGCTTAGTTTGGCTGGATAGGAGATTCTAGGTTGAAAGCTCTTTTCTTTAAGGCTTAATAACTTTTAATAGTGTAGAGAGGTTTTGAGAATCTGTGGTCTAGAGGAATTCACATATAATTTAGAAAGAAAGCAAGGCTTTGTATAGTCCAAAATATGCATATTAGGGCTGAAAGCAGTACTTCAATATGAAGTATTTTTCAAATGACAGTATGAAGATAAGTTTTGTAGTTATCATGCTTTGTATTATTTGGAATCTTATTATTTTGGAATTTTTCTAAACCGTCATTTTTTATTTTCTGTCTTTAATATACAACAGAGGAAATCAACAATGAAATAAAATATTTGCAAAACTATATATTTTTTGTGAACACTTAATTTTTCTAAACCATAGTTGCTTTCCTGAACAAGCTCGATACATTATAAGAATATAGAAAAAAGATGTTCTTTGATAATCTTTGGAATATTCCTGGTATCTTACATGTAACAATATTTCATATCTGAGTTAAGTGAACAAAGTATATTAAAAATTTTTTTAATAGTACTGTCTAATGTCATTTTGGAATGTATGTAGAGGTTAATTTGCTATTATATAAAGCTCTTCAGTTTAATGATAACTGTATCCTTTTATCATGTAACATATGGTGGTCAAAATGTTGGTGAGTTTCTGATTTTTCTTTTTTTTTTTCTTTAAGCAGATAATCTCAGTGATACCTTAAAGAAGCTGAAGATAACAGCTGTTGACAGGACTGAGGATAGTTTAGAAGGATGCTTGGATTGTCTGCTTCAAGCCCTGGCTCAAAACAGTAAGTTTCATTATGTTTACTCAAATTCCAAACGAGAAAATCAAATTCAGTAGTCATTCAGAAACTGGCGTGTAGTTAAGCACATAACTTTGTATTCATATAACTTGAATTCTTTTGAATCATATCCCTGAATACTGAGATTGTTTTACATGTTCCATCCTCCTACCCTCCACGCCCCCCCAGGATCCTCAAAGCCAAATTGATAGGCAAAGAAAGGAGGAATTGATGGGCGGTGGTGACATTAATACCAGTCCCAGAGAGAGGGCATTGTTTGTTCCTACCAGCAAAGCATCATAGTTGTTTTTCTTAACACCTACATTTGTGCTTTAAAAATAGACTGTTTTATATGTAGGGAGAGTGGGGAAGGAGAGAGAAGAGAAACAGAGGGAAGCTTAAAACATTTAACATTTTTTGAGATATTATCATATTTTTAAATAATTGTACTTTAAAATAATATGTATGCATAGATTTGAAAAGAACCGTTAGTAGTCATCAAAAGTCTTTTGAAGTTGAGGTAAGATTTTATCTTTGATGTGGTAAATAACGCTAGAGATAGAAACTGCACAATTCTTCTTTGACACATTGTATTGCATTTTATTTGTCTTATTTTTATTCGCTAATTTCTGTATTATCACTATTAACAGGTCGGTATAGAGTGATTTTCATTTGTTATCTTACTTGTGCTTGGTTGTGCTATGGTTTGTTCTGTACTTGTTTTTAATTATGCTCTTGTCCTATCCTGAGACTAATTATGTAGCTAACAAATAATTGAGGGGCAAGTGTATATTACAGTTTTAATTGTCGGGTTTCAACACTTGTTGATGTATGTGTTTTTTAATTTTTAGTAAATCTGGACTAGAAAAATATAAAATGATTGCCATGCTCTTCATCAAAAAAGCGCATTTTAGAGCTAGCTTTTAAAATTCTTTTCAGTAATTATTTTGACATTATAACTCTGTCAAGCTGTTTAATCTTGGAGATAACAGAGAAGGGATTTGAAACAAGGAGTTTAACCAGAGCATCTGGATAAGGCTCAAAATGGTAAAGAAAAAGGACAGGAAAGGAGAGCGTCAAAGACTGCTATCTGTTTTAGTAGACAAATGTGACTATTTAGATTTGATACAAGTAAATAAAATTTAAAAGTAAGTTCCTTAGTCTCACTTCTCAGTAGCTATATTTGGCAGATGACCACCCTCTTGGGGATCACAGATATAAAATATTCCCATGATCATAGAAAATTCTTATGGATAGCACTGGTCTAGAAACTAGAAAGAACCACACAATGACCTGATTTTTTTTTTTTTTTTTTTTTTTTACATGTGCCAGAATGGGCAGCTTTTCACAGTAACATAATTAGCCTAAGTAAATTAAGTATCTCAGGTATGTTTTTTTAAACAGTTGTTTTATGATAACCTTTGTCTATTTTCAGTGACCCTTTTTTTTCTCTGTTAGAAAACAGTAAACTTTTAAATAGACCATTTGTTTTAGAAACTGAAGAACATGTGAAGGGTCATATTCCTGGTCATCTGTGGAAGGTTGCCCATTGTCTCCTGGAAAGACTGGAAGACACAGAGATGAAGTTGAAGGGAAATGAAGAGGAAAGGGAGCAAAAGTTTATACCTTTTTAAAGAACAGATTCAAAAATATTGACAAGTTCATAATTAGTAGATTACATTTCAGACCATTGTGAGCTTATTCAGTATACCTTTTGTTGAAAATGGTCTTGAAATTGTATATCACGAAATGTTGAGGCCATGTAACCACAAGTTGTTAAAACAATAAACTCTCACAAATTTAACCAATGACAACCCAGAAGGGAACAAAAGGAATGTCTTGTTAACAATCTGAAACAAAATTTATAAATGTCCTCATGACTAAGACTGCTAACAAAAAAGAATTTGACTTTGGAAGAATGAGTCCATGCAGATGTCCAGTCTTTGATTTAGGAGTTATATCTGTCATTGGATTACTTACTGGATGTTTAGCACTGGGCTGGGGATTATAGCCACTGTCTAGTTTTTCCTCTAGCCCTATGAGATAGGTGTTATTATCACCATTTAAAGGATGAGGTAACAGATTAATAAGCTTACTTGCCTTGCTCTGGAAGAAGCCAACGTTTGGATTTGAACTCTTGGTTTACAAAATAAAAAATTATAATTTGAGTAAAGTGAAGCTTTTTGTTGAGTTTATATAATGTGAAACCATTCCAAGCAGCTAGATTTTAATATTTTCTTAAATGTTTGCTTTTTTAAAAAAAAAGTTCCAAATTTTTATTAAAGTGGATAAGCCTGTTTTTCTTGAACTATAAAGTGATAGATGTAATTTCATAGACATTTATTGATCTACTTTATAAAGTGAGAATATGGCTTTTTAACAAGAAAAAGTAAAATATATTAGTAAGATGTTCATTTTCTACAATTCTTCCTTGAATAAGGTGATTGAGCCATTGCTACTTCTGTCCTCCTAAATGTAAAATTATAAAACATTTAACTTAGAAGAATCTGTACTTGCTTTTAAAAAAACAAAAAACAAAACAGAGCTTCAAGTTTCATAATTTTTCCTTAGAGTCAGATGTTTTAACTAAAAATAATCACTGTTTGCACCTGAGCAGGAAAGAAAGATTTCTCCATTTTATACAAATATAAGATGGTAATGTATATAATGGAAATATAAACAAAATTTTATTTTGCATTCCAGTACCCTGTTACTGGAAAGGTTATTTCTGAAAGGAACAAAATAATAATGCTTTTGAAACTTTTACGCTGTGTGAATTTAGTGCATTTGAATTGCATATTATAAATGACTGTAATCTGAAATTAGAATTTTTACTTTGATGTATTGCTTTAGAGTGGTTTTCTTTTTTTTACCATTGGCAATATTTCTCTCTGTAACGTTTATAGTATATGTGTCTGTCTTAAGAGACAAGAAGATTTGAATACTTACTAGATTTTATGAAAACATTTTGTTAAAGCAAGCATTTTGTGTAAATCTTTGATCTAAATTAATATAAAGTCATTCATTCACTCATATAAATACATCAGATTTCAGTTTTAAAATGTTTTTAGTAAATGTGTGAAGGATACCAGCCAAGAAATCAGCTTCTGTTTATTTTGGTCTCTTTTGATTCAGATTATAGTTAGAATATCCTCAGTAAATGCTTATTTAATTGTAGTATGGTTACTCTTTTATGCTTATTTGGAAATGTAAAACAATGGACCACCTATTTTCATCCCTAAACATTTAAGACAGGAATTGTCTTTGGAGAATATGGCATCTAAATCACCTTGCAAGAGAAACTATTAGTTTAAATTAAAGGCCCAATGACAAGAAAAATTAACATTCTATTTGTAATAAAAATGCTATTTACTTTATTTCATTCTGAGGATGAGGACCATTTTGTGTCTCCGGGTATACCATAAAGTGATGCCATACAGCTTTAAACTCTCTTCCTGAAGAGTTATCTTCCTTTGTCTTACTCTCTTTCTCTCTCCCTTTCTCTCTCTCTTTTTTTTTTATTTAGCTTAGTTTCTTGCTTGATGGCAATTCCCATTTCATATGACAGTCATGTAATTTTTTTTTCTTCCTTCAAATATTTATTTTTAAAACAGTATCAAAGTTGGTAAGACACAGTTGAGCAGGGCATACAGAGGCAAGGCTGTTAAAATTTAAGGGCATTAAACGCAAGTATCTAACTCATCAGGTATAAACCTGTTACCTGATTACTAATTCTTCAGGGAAAATCTGTATACTCTCATAGTAAGTATTTCTTCCCCAACAAGACAAGCAAACACTATAGTGAGCATACATTTTGGACAGTCACGTTATTGTTTATTTTTTATAGAACAACTCTGTGAGATAATGTGGGTTTACTTGTCTTTAAAGAGAAAAAGCATTTCATTTCTAGTTCCACATCTTTAACCTTCTATCATAATATTCAGTCACATGTTGAATTCTTTATTTTCTACCCATAAGGAATTTGCTAGTCCTTGTTCTTTATTTCATTTGTTGTATTGATTTTTGTCTCCCTTCAGCAATCCTAAGCATACGTAATTATAGGCACACTTCATTTTATTGCACTTTAGTTTTTGCACATCACAAATACTGTATTTTTTACATATTGAATGTTTATGGCAACCTTGAGTTGAACAAGTCTTTTGGTGCCATTTTTCCAACAGCATGTGCTTTGTGTCTTTGTGTCACATTTTGGTAATTCTTGTAATGTTTCCGATATTGTTATTATATCTACTGTGGTAATCTGTGACCAGTGATCTTTGATGTTTCTATTGTGATTGTTTTGGGGTGCCATGAACCATGCCCATATATGATGGTGAACTTAATTGATAAATGTTGTGTCTGACTGCCCCACCAACTGGCTATGCTGCACCCCTTACACCCTGTCTCTATTCCTCTCCTCAGGCCTCCCTGTTCCCTAAGGCACAATGTTTAATTTAGGTCAACTAATAATCCTAGTGAAAGGAAGAGTCATATCTCTCTCACTTTATATCACAAGCTAGAAATGATGAAGCTTTCTGAGGAAGACATGATGAAAGCAGAGGCAGGTTGAAAGCAAAGACAGGCCAAAAGCTAGGCTCTTGAGCTAGTTAGCCAAGTTGTGAATGCAGAGGAAAAGTTCTTGAAGGAAATTAAAAGTGCTTCTCCAGTTAACACATGAAAAGAAAACAAAATAGCCTTATTGCTGTTAGGAGGAAAGTTTGAGTGGTCTGGATAGAAGATCAAACTAGCCACAACATTCCATTAAGCCATGTCCTAATCCAGAGCAGTGCCCTGATGGTCTTCAGCTCTGAGAAAGCTGAGAGGTGAGGAAACTGCAGGAGAAAAGTTGGATGCTAGCAGAGGTTGGTTCATGAGGTTTAAGGAAAGAAGTTATCTTCACAACACCAAAAGTGAAAGATGAAGCAGCAGCTGCTGATGGAGAAGCTGAAGCAGGTTACCCACAAGATCTAGCTAAGATCATTGATGAAGGAGGGTATACTAAATAA